ATGAATATGACTGTAATTCGAATCCTGATAACATAGCAGTTTTTCTCGCTTCAGCTTTTTTTTTATAAGTAATTTATATTTCCGAGATTATTTTGAAATTTTCAATTTCACTTAAAATTTTTTTAAATTTTTACTGACTTCCTTTAAGTTTTCAAGAAATGAAACGATAAAACATACTTTACTAATGCAGCAATTGATATATTTATTAAAAACAAATTAAACTTTTTCTCATCTATGCTTAAAATTGTCCCCTCTTAATAGACATTAACCACATACAGTGTAAAAAATTCCGTATCAAATTACGATAAAATTGCTGCACTTTGGGTGATATTTGTAATATTTTATAAAATACTATACCGTAATGCTTACGGTTATATTTATTTAGTTTGAGTGATTCACTGATTAAAGCTATTATTACTGCAAAAATTACAGTATATCAGAATTTTTGTTGCATAACATGATACGGTAAAAATGGACTTTTTACCCTAATCCTAAATTTTTTACGCTTCTACATTTACAGGCACAGTCATGCATACCCCTCACCACGACCTTGTGACAGTCTTTAGTTTTTTTACTTCTCAGACAGTATATAGAACCATAATATTTCGTCATTTCGTCTAGAACCATACAATCTTGAATTTAGCGCACCATAAACGAGTTCAATCTTTTAAACAATTTACTCAAATCATCCAACTTTTTACCATTATTCAAAATAATAGAAATAACTATGCGCTGTTTGATTTACTCTCAGTTTAAAAAACTTTGGAATCTCTTGTGTTTCAAAAATCAAAGTGATTTTTATGTACTTCTTCTTAATGAAGTTTAAGAAAAAGTACATGAAAGAAAAAACTTTTAAACAACGTTATAAAAGAACGAAAACTGGAAATGTACTTTAATTTTCATGTATACTAGAAACTTTTGTATTAATATTTTTTTTAACAGAAATAAAGAATAAACTGTGTTGAGGGGATTAAAACAAGTTAATCCACACTTTTTTTAAGATATGACATATTTACATCAAACTGTTTTTTTTAAGTCTTGATCTTAAAAATTGGTACTTTTCAAGCTTCTCTAGATGTCCATAATACATAAAAAATATTGCTGTGTGCACGGAAATTTTTATGCTTTTCAAGAAAATTTTTTAAATAACACTCTTCTGAACAGTTTAAAAATAAGATCATTTTACTGCCCCATGTATTTCGATTGCAGTTGGAAATACCACATTTTTGCGGTATGGCTTTTTTTCTTTTAATTTAACTCATATGAGTCTTAAATTAGTAAAAAATGTTTTGGTACCAGATATTGGTTTTCAACACAACTGCAACTCAATTCCAAATCATTTTAACATCTTCTGATTAGAGGGCTCCTAAAAGTTTTGATGGATGATTCTAACATTTCCTATACTTCTGAAAACAAACTATTGATTTCCTAAATTATATAATAATCTGTACTGTAATGTTTTAGGGATTGCTAATTATGTTTCTGATATTTTATTAAAAAAAATTAAGAAGAACGAATACTAATGTAATCTTTTTTGACGCATACACACACAGTATGCTCCTGGATTAGTGTTTTAAATTATCGGTCATTTCCCATTTTTGTGTCATTAAAGTCTACATTCAATACATAGAAATTTGAAATTTTTAGTATTTTGGTAAAAAATTTTGTATTTTAATAAAAATATTTAGATTTATATATGCACGTTTGTATACATGTAGAGATAAATAAATTGTGTATATAATGATGAAGTTTCTTTACATAATATGTAATTAAAATTGATATTATATAAGATTATATATTCTCTGAAAAATGTTATAAGCAAATGTCCCTTTACAGTATACATATTTGATTCAATTAAAACTGACTGTTAAATTAAAATTTTGTTTTGTATTGAGCAAAAATCGAAAAAAAAAACATCGTGTGTATTTGTCTTTTTCCCGCATTGAAAAAAAATTCGAAATACCAGTATCGAAATCGAGAAAAATGATATCAGAACCGATATAACTATACCGGAAATTTAAAACCTGGTTTGAAACTATTTCGGAAATTTTAGAACCTGTTATGGCTGCAAGCTGAAAATTTTAAAACCAATATGGAAACTTCCGACTGGAAATTTTGATACCAGATTTCAAATATACTGGAAGGAGTGAAACCAGTTAGCATCCATTCTGGAAATTTTGAAGTAGTTTTAAAATATATTAGGGAGCATTTAACCAGTATACTAGCTTAAATTCTTAGTAAATACATACTCTTCTGGCAATAAAACAGGATTTGTCATCTTCAAACTAGCTTTCCTCGTTAATAATTCTTCATTATTTTTTTGAAAAAAAAAATGTTTTTTTTTCTTGATTATATGAAAATTTCTGATTATAAATTTTTTTAAAATTTTGATAACTATTCTTATTAACTATATTAAGGGCGGCGATAACGTACACTTTCTTTGTAAATATTAATTAAAAAATACATATTTAAAATTATTAAAGTCATAGAATTTAATTTTTGGAGGGAAGGGAGTTAATGAGTAAGATTTGTACGCAAGTAAGGAGTTATGAGTAAGATTTGTGTTTGTATTTTAATTAATTTAAAATCTGTTTAAATTTAATTATTTCAATAAAAGTAATTTTATAATAAAAATAATTTAATAATAAAGCCCTTATTTTTTATTTATTTTGTGATACGACAAAAATTACTTTTACTCAAAGGCATGATGACTAAAAATATTGTAGTAAAATTATAATTGATTCAATTAATGTTTTTTCTCGTTAAATTTATACTAAACTAAAACTAAGTTGATCCAAACCGAAACTAAACTATCGATTCATCCAATCAAATAATTTGTTTAGGTTTAAAGCAACTTCATAGCGAAAAAGGTTTGCTTACATAAATTAAAAATTGATATAAAATTTAAAAATTTTAACCTTCAACTTCTAATTTTTATCTCTTCTTTAGAAATTTATAAAAACTTATAAAATTCAGTCTGTTTTTTAAATTTGTCTTAAATAAGTTTAGATCAATAAACAAAATACTCTTTCTTAAATGAAATAAAAAATTTGTTTTGTAACAATATATTTTTTTTCCAATGCCCACCTGGAGAACGACCTACGTCATACAGGTATCTGAAAGGCAGAGTTGTTGGTCACTTTTTCAGGAGCACCATATTAGGTGGGCCAACGTTGCTCCTACAGTAATGACAGATAGTACAGAGAGAAGGAAAGAACATCCATGCCTTGCCCGGGATTCAAACCCGGAACCTTTCTGATGCAAGGGCAGTTCCCTAACCCCTACACAGGTCTGTCGACAATTGTAACAATACAGTTAATAGTATTTTCAACTGAACCTATAAAAGCAAAAAGGAGCGATTAATTCAGAAGCGAAAGGGAATTACGCAAAAAAGAGAATCGACCTGCAGTTGCTCGTTAAATCTTTATCAAGTTACACACACTCCACGTTTTGAGAATGTTCTTTTCCATCAGTTTTCTCAGTTCGTTTCATTTCTCAGTCTGAACTTACAGCCATTCATTTGCCGGTCACTTTCTTCGACTTACGTTTACTTGTTTAAATTTGAAACTAAGAAGCCAAGCTTTGGAGCATTAATAGAAAGAATAGTGCTATATTTTAGTAAGTGAATTTCTCGCCTTATTTCTTGTTCTTATTTCTTTGTCAGCTACAGAAATGTTAAAACGAATTTTCTTAAGTAAACCTTATATTTTAAGTAATTAAGACATATATATTTTTCTTGAATTATTACTGCGTATACAGGCATAGGGTTGCGTTTTATGTACACTCATTGCATCAAAAGAAAGTATTTTTAATATTGTTTTCCTAGATTTCTAAATGAGACTCTTTTAGAAAAGCCTTGTTTACATGTTGTTTACATAAAGTTTCATTAATTTCACCAATATAAACAAATTAACCCTTTGTTTAGCTGGATATAAAATTTTAAACACTTTGCATTATATCTAGAGTGCTAATTGCTAACATTTTTGTTGTTTTTAATGTTACATTTTATTTTAACAATTTTAAAGAACGTAATTTTAATTATATTATATTAACTGTTGATACCCTGATCTTTCAGTAAAATTAAAATAGCATTTTAAAAACAAAGCTGCTGATACTTTAAAAATGAATATTAATATTCAGAATATTAATATCCAGTGATAATGTAAATTTACTTTTTATCGTATAACCTCTAAAAAAATTTTTTGCAGAAAAGATTTGGAAAACAATATGTTTTGATTTCGTTTAATTTCCTGAGAGGTATGTTTTTCTAGTTCTTACATTTTTAGCGTGTACACATTCAACATCACGGAAATAGTTTTTTTCCCTTTATAAATCGGCATTTAGAGATATTTACATATCTGGATCTATTTTGCCATCTACAACTGTTAAGGCGCCAAAAAAAGATTTTGAACTTGCACATTAAAAAAAAAAAAAAAAAAAAAAAAAAAAAAAAAAAAAAAAAAAAANAAAAAAAAAAAAAGTGAAGAGGTTTGTCTGGGATGGTTACCTACTAGTTTTATTCCTTGAATTAGTCCCCTTCTGTGACGTTTTTGTTCTAATTTCTCACGGGCCGCTACTCATAAGTTGCAGCGACTTAGCGAGTAGATTATGATAAGCATATCCACCTTTTCTTCATAATATCGAATTAAAAAATAAATGAAATTAGTTGTGAAATTGATTCAGAAGATTTCGCAAATGAATTCAACATACTACTTGTAATAGTTTCCTACTATTTAGATATTTTTTTATTGCGTATGATATGTCTATATATAAGCTAGATATGCATGTGATATTAGGATGTGTATAAATAGAGGAATATGAGATATTAAAAATGGAAATATATAATTTACAATTGAAAATTACTTAATAAGAACATTATTATTTTCTTAGGATTAGAAGAATATTTCAATAGAATATAAATAAAATAGAGCTAGAGTTGAACTTTTGAAAAAGTCATTGTTTAACTATTGATTGGATTTGTTATTTTATAAGAATTGAAAGAAAAAAATACAGAATTGTATAAGATCGAATGTTTCTAGGTGTTATTTTCTCCTTATTGTGGCTACGTTCTTAAAGAAAATCTTTGTTCTTTTTCTTTCAATAAATTTTAGTCATAAATAAATTAAAAATTTCGAATCACAACTTTTATGGAGTAATTTAATTGCAAGAATCAGTAGAAATAACGCATTAAGATTTTCTCTTAAATTAGATTGGAAGTTTAAAAAAAAAAAGTAAAAAGAAATGAATAGTGTCAGTAAATATATTTACTTTTTTGTTGTAAACATCGGCCAGAATTACAGTAAGTTGAAACCTTTTTATCGAATTACTTTCTAAGAGAAAAAAAAAAGAGTAACTTTCTTCAAAAGAAGCGATAGAACTGATGCGGATTGCGAAGAAAAGGAAAATTTCAATTAACTCGAAAGAAAAGAAAAATAAATTAAAGAAAGAAAAAAAGCGCACTTCTTTCTCCACAATGGAATCTCTTATTTTCGTTTTTTTTTTTTATCACGGTTCGGAAAAAGTTTTTAGCGGGCTTCATAGCGAGAGATCAAAAAAGTTTAAAACAAAACTAACTACTATTTTTACGGATATCTCCTTTAAAATGAAGTTGGTGTAATTTAAGGGAATGTTTAGATTGGTTTTGGTATCATAACAAATAGTTTAGTTGTTAGAAAACCCTGTCGGGCAGAATTTTCAAGTTCTATCTAGAGTTTCTTAAAAAACGGATATTAGAACCGGGTTTCCAATGGTCGGAATCAATAATAGGTCTGTCCACGGACTTCCAGCCGTCCCCGAGGGTAGCAGTCGATCAACCCTCGAACACTACGCATGCGTTGGGAATTGACTCGTTTCCTCTCTTTTGCAAGATCTTCACAAGACATGTGTCTACGAATCTTTTCATTCGTGTTGTACGTTTGTTTCTAGCGTTCGAGAACGGTGCGGAATTAAAATTTTGCGCTTGCTCTGTCAGCATGATATTGTTATTGTTTTGAAGTCATTATTTTTGGAAAATGAATGACTTAATTCGTTATGAATTAATTCGTTAAAAATTATTAAATAAAGCCAAACAAACAAGATGCGTGGAATAAATGCAAAAAAATAACAGAAAAAAAATGTGCCAATCAACAAGACTTTTTTAGATGGCATAAAAACACCTAAACATTTATCTTGCTATTACACACAGTTAAATGTATCAAATGTAGTTAAATGTAAGAACTAAAAATATATTTTTATCACTGAATTGTATAATTTACATATGTACGAGTATGTTCGCAGTAACTTGAACAATTGATCAAAATGTTTTTTCCACATATTTGCATTTTTTTGAGCTTGATGGTTTGTAGTAGTGGCCAAGGAGTGCGACGGGTTGGATCAAGGCCTGTTGGGACGAAATATGGCTCCATTCGTGGACTATTGGTAAATTTACCAAACCGTAATGTTGGTCCTGTTGAAGTATTTCTTGGTGTTCCATATGCCAGTCCTCCAACTGGACTTTTACGATTTATGCCACCTGTAAACCCTAGCCAATGGCGAGGTGTAAGAACAGCTGATCGCTATGGGCCCGTTTGCCCTCAGCGTTATCCTGATATTAAGAATGAGACTGAATCATTAAGACATATGCCTTCTGGAAGGCTGGAATATTTGAAGAAGTTGATACCTTTTCTTCGTAATGAAAGCGAGGATTGTCTTTACTTGAACGTCTACTGTCCAGGTAGGATTTGTATTCAATGTATTTCTTGTATAGTTAACATTGCTTCAGAAATGCTTCAGGGTTTTTCCCGTAAGTTCATTAAAGAAAAGCCGGTAATGAATATTTTATTTATTCAGTAATAAAAATGAAAGTTAATATACTTAAATAGACGTTTACTAATTTTCAAAGCTGCAATTGAATATCTTCAAATTTTACTTTACTATTTTTTTAAACAACTAAGCTAATATTTTTCTTTTGTGTCAGTAATGGAAGAAAAAAATATACTTTAAAAGATTGCAAGACATTTTCAAGATCATGCCTTTTATAATAATTTGACAATATTGACTGGGCATGGCTATGAAATATTAGTTTTTGCTATAGAATATTTGTTTAATCATAAGTATTTTTTCACAACAAATTGTAAACTTAATTCTATAAGATATACTCTTGAAATTTTTAACAAACATATAGCAAATAAAGCTTTATTTAAAACACTAGGTATTCCGTTTAAATTAAACATTTTATTGTGTTTCACTGTACTCTATATTTAACGCAAGTCATACTTGAAATTATTTGATACCGTATTGTTCACTGGACGAAATTTATAAATTATTTGATGTAAAATATGATCAACAATAATATTTACCAAAATTAACGAAAGAATCTGAAATTTGAAGCGAGAAGTTATTGAAGTAACTAACTTTATTTCTATAATTTCTATGAAGCTAAAAATTAAATTACTTACCTTTGAGGAATATATTTAAGGAAATTTTAAAACCTTTTAAGTTTTGAAACTGTTGAGCATGTCCGCTTGTTTCATTTGAAATATTTTGCCTGTCTTATTTTCTTGTTCAGTTTTATTAACGTAAGTTGACGGAATTTAAATTATTCAGCGGTACGCTTAAAAAAGTTTTGGAAAGCCTATGGAAAAAAATTAATAGTAAAATATAAAAAGCATTTACTTAGAAATTTTTTTAAACGCATGTAAGATTTAAGCAGTTTTGAAACTTTATACATTTTAAATACATTTTTAAACATTTCCGTTTTAAGAAACGATATACGCGTATCAGTGTGTAATGTCCAAGATCTATAGCTCTACTGCATTATGCAAAACATAATCAACAGTAATGTTCACCAAAAATATGTATATATAATGGAGGGAACTGAATTTGTATGCACGAAAACATTTAATATTAGAAACAAAATTTTTTGTGTAATTTTGGCATACAGAAAAAAAACAACTGTATAACCTCATGGTATACAGCAATTTGAATTTTAAAACGTTTTAGTTTCTGGGACTAACTCAATCAGTTTTCAGAAATTTTGCTCACTTTTTCTCTCTGGTTGAGCAGTATTTACTCCATTGACCGGATTCAAACTATTTAAGAACTAGCGTGCTAAAAAACGTGCTTGAAATTCTTGAAAGAAGAAAAAAATAAAACCTTGTTTCACTATTAATTTATTTACAAAGGAATGAAATTAATAAGTATTTTAAGTACCTCCAAGATTTTAGTATTCCTGAGACTTAATATTTCACAATAATGCACATTTTTTAATATATTTTAATTTTAAGAAGTGGCAGAGGTTTTCCAATCCAGCGGTGTTTAACATGTTTTGCATTTTCTTAAATAAATAAAGGAAAAACTTGAATTTCGACTTTTTTTTTCAAATTCAGGTAACAATTAGAAGAACCGGGTTCGAATCGCAGCGAATGCTGGTGGATACGAATTCCACACCCGGTTCGCACCGACCACAGTGCTGACATAAAATATCCTCAATGGTTTACGGATCATGGGTTAGAGTCCCCTTGCCGTTAGGCTAAACTCAGGAGGTTTTCGTGGTTTCCCTCTCCATGTAGCGTAAATGAGGGTTAGTTCCATCAAAAAGTCCAACATGAAATTGAATTTCTCCCTTTACTTGGTCTAGGAGTTCCCTTATCTTCTGGATTGGGTTCAAAATTACAAGGTTACGGCATTGAATATTGGTAGTCGAAAATCCTAAATTGGGTCGGCTGTTCAACGACGTTTATAAAATAAAATAAGATTCAGGTAATAAATTATAAAAGAAATAAATGCTTGCATTATAATTGCGACCAACTACAACCTAGAGAAAAATCTTCAAAAAAAGAGAGCGGGTCGTTAAAGGCTGCTGGAAAGTAAATTCGCACACTGACACGTGTGTAGCATTAATGATTTATTTAAAGGATTGCTCCATTTTTTATTTTTTTTTAAAAATACAAAATGTATGAAAATATTTTTCTTTATTCTTTTCAAAAATGTAACTCCAAAATTGCTTTATTGTTTGTAATATTTTTAACTACTTTTTTATTATTTTTTAAATACATCGAAAAAACCGTTTTTTGAAGAAAGAAAAAAATCTATATAATTAAAGATTTCATAGGAATTGAGGGATATTGTTTATTGACGTCGTTTGAGTAGATTAAAAAACAAAATAATTAATGAATTGTCAGAAAAAGGCAAAAAAAAAAAGAATAGAAGGAAAGAAAAGAAACCAAAGAAAACGATTTTGCAAAAATGAGGACTTGTATAGACACATTAGTGTGTATTCATATGATGTTATTTCTTCATAATTTAAGTATCTAAGCAAATAATTAATTTCAAAAGAATATGAAATTGTTCATTTTAAAATATTCAATCAAACAATTTAAATTATGTGTCTTTGCTCCCAAGAGACCAGTGCTTTTTTCCATGAGATATCAAAAATTAATTTTTGTTTAGTCAACATGAATCATTTCGAAATATTTATATTCTGAATTATAATTAACAATTTAAATTTTTGAATGAATTTAAACTGTGCTTAAAGCTTAATATTTTATTGAAATTAAAAAGTCGAATTTAAATGCTAAAAAAATTCCCGAAAGCCAGTTTTAGCGTATTTCTTGGCACAAGCATGTCCTATTTTAAACTTTTTGTTATTGTTCCCTATATTTAATTTAAATCTATGAAAATTTGAGAATAAAAATTAAAAATTTGAAAATAAATCAACGTTTCTAATATTTAATACAATGAAAATATCTAATTTTCAATACAATGAAAATGTAATATGACATGTACATATGACAAATATGTATATTTTTGTGTATATAAAAATATAATATGAAAATTAAACGAACATTTAATAAGTTATTTTATATTTTCTTTTAAAATTTTTTCATTGCTTTTCCGCATTGCTATAAGTTTTTAAGTAATTATTAAAGTAAAATGTATATATTCAATTTTTTTTTCTTTAGCAATTTATAAATCAAAATATAATGTATATTTTATTTCATTAAAATAAAATAATGCGCTTGATAATAATATAGATAGATATTTTTTGAAGGCGAAAAAAATATATTTAAAAATAACAATGAAGAACAAAAGCTCTCAACTTAAAATTCCAGAGAAAACAGAACGAAGTCGAACTTTGCATTTTAATTGAGATGAAAACAATGTTTTTTTATTACATTTAAGAAGAATACGTCGCAGTTTATGCGTCAAAATCGCTTCGTTATCCTGTCTTAATGTCTGTAAAATAAATTAATAATTGAAACATAAAATAATTAATACTAATGACTAATTGTTCTAATAAACTCAAATGTTGCAGAAAATGTCTTGTTTCTTTAAACTTTAAATCTGATTGCTCTTAATAATAAAATTGAATTTTTTGTAACGATTTAGTACTTTAAAATAGTATTATTTAGATTTCGCTTGAAATGTATTGCATTTTATTTCAGACTTCCATACAGTTACTTTAGAACTCAAATTTTCTTACTTCATGAAACAACTTATTTCTTCAGAATTTGTTTTTAGAATCATTTATGTTATGCTTCTTACACTTAGCGCAAAGGGTCTAAATTTGGTTCTTATGTCGTGTCAGAACTCTAAATTAAGTTCATCTCAGTTACAATAACTACTAAATGCAGAGAAGCCATACTAATCCGATCTAATTGGGACCGTTGAATGTTCTGATTTAGTCAAAACCGATTTGTGTAACATAATTGGCATAAAACTCTCTTGATACATTTGAAGCATGTCTGCATAATTTTTCATGCCGAAATTTTAGCAATTTCATTTATTATTGTTAATATGTTGCAAAAAAGGAGTGTTTTCGTTCCTGAAGCGTTATCTCTAAGCAAATTGAAGTTAATTATAGCATTAAGTGTCCAATTTCTAACGTAATTATACATTGTTATTAACTCACTATACATTGTTATTAACTCACTATACATTGTTATTAACTCACTATACATTGAATATAACATACGTTTTCAATACGTATATAACATACGTATTGCGGAATAACAAATTACGTGTCTTGAATACTTTCAGACTTGTCTGACAGTCAGACAACTTGAATACTTTCAGACGCTGTAATTTTTACTCATAAAAACATGTATTTGACATTAAAAAGTATTCAACAGTAAATCTCGATTTCAAACATGTTGAGTAATAATCGACCTGTAGTAATGAGTCTGATTACCAAATATCTGCGAAGTCGATTATTTAACAGTCCTGAGTATGCTGTTGTTTTTATATATCGACGTTTTGCTTGTATATATATATNTGATATATATAATCGATTTAATTAATAGACAGTTGTGTTTTTAACTGTTCGCAAGTTTACTACATTTTTAGAAATTTCTTCATACTTTAATTAAGCTTCTACCATTTTGTTAATTCTTTTCCTACACGACCGTACAAGTTGAGAACTATGTTTTTTATGAGTTTTATATGAATTTACATAAGCTCAGAAAATATTTTTAGCTTTGCGAATTTGCAAACTTTCCTTATATGGTAGGTACGGATTATGTGACATTATAATGGGACAGTACTGTATTTTTTGCTAGAACTTAATTTTCTACAAAGTTTTAAAAGGATTCAAAACCTTTTTAACTATCTTGTTGAGCTAATATCTAAAACTATTTATTTGAGAAACATAAATTTCTCCTTTCTATATCAGAGCGAAACTATGTAGCTGAATATAGTAGGAAGAATTGGAGTACTATGCAAGAAAACCTTCAT